GTCCAAAGAAAAAGGGGGGGGGGGGGGGGGGGAAGAACAAGAACAAGAACAAGAACAAGAACAAGAACAAGAACAAGAACAAGAACAAGAACAAGAACAAGAACAAGAACAAGAACAAGAACAACAAGAAGAAGGAGAGGGAGGAGGAGGAGGAGGTGGAAGCAAGAAAAGCAAGCAAGACAAAAAAAAGAGAAAAAGAAAAAGAAACGAAGAAAGTAACAGAAAATGAAGGAGAAAGAGGATGAAAAGAATAAGCAGGAAAGAAAGGAAAATGATAACTTCTTTGGCAAAAGAAATAGGAGCAAGAAGAACAAGGGGAAAAAACATTTAAAGAAAGTTCAGGACAAGACGAAAGGGGAAAAAAGAAGAGTAAACAGCAACAAAATGAACATTGAAAACACGAGAAGAAAAGGAAGAGTAAACAATAAGAAAGCAACGAGAAACCTCGAGCTTAGTACTTACATCTTGCAACTTTACAGCTTTCAGCTTCAATTGTAAAAGCAACTGATGTTAAACTACTCAAAGCGACCTGTTTTATATCTTACGGATAAAGAAACTCTACAAATCAAATATTTATTGTGCGACAAATTTGACGTTTCCTGACAAAAAAATGACATTTACCTACTACATTGACATCGATCAGTTAAATCAAAACTCGGTATATATTTAAACTATATAATTCAAGATTTTTGACATTCTAGAGACTAAAAACCGTTCGTTTTAATTGTGCATGTTTGGCTCCACCATGGACATATAGTGTAAACAAATCTGCCCTTAATTAAAAAACATTTCTAAAAAAAATGTTTTCAAAGCACGGATTTTTAATCAATTATTAATCACGTACAGGTTGATTCCTCTACTACCTGCTGACAAACCAGGTTAGCGTTAAAGAACCGTACAAGATTCCGTTAGACAATTGGAATCTTGGTAAGAAAAAAACGGTTAACGTAAAGTGAACATGAAATTGTTATTCGATTGCTACACAAGTGTTTGTAATATTTTGAAGTGGTCTTTCAGCTACAGGTCTTACTCAAGTCTCAGTTAACTCCTTACTTACTGAATTCCATTTTCGCTAACAATATATAGTTAATACAGTTGATAGATAGATAATTTGTAACACCGTATGGTATGTAAAAATGAAACTGACGTTTCGGACGTTAGTCCTTCATCGGAGTAAACGAGAGATGAATGTATATAGTTAATAGCAAACAGCATCTGTTGTCAAACTATGTTTTATAATAATAATAACAATATAATGATAATAGTAATAATAATGACAAGTATCAAGACCTCAGAATAGAAATAGAACTAGAGTGTGGAGGATGAAGACC